GATAAGAAATATGACTTTTCTATGATTTTCATTTTCTGAATGCCTACTCTGAATCTATGGGGGTTATTCACTAATGGGTGAAGAGTTTGGAGAAGGCAGGAGAAGAGAACAATCTAGGCCAAACTAGCTGATTTGGAAGAACTCTCCAATTCAGCTCACTTTCCAGTTCAACTATGTTGTCCTAGATTGTTCACTTCTCCTTCCTTCTCCAAACTCTTCACCCCTTTTGTGAATAGCCTTCTATGATTCAGAATTTTGAAGCCAGACAGAAAACATTTTTTAAAGGAAGCCAACAATGGCACCCCATCCTACACACGCATACATGCACATACAACTCTCATGACAGATGTACTTTAGGCTGGCCATATACTGTTAGAAAACTGGCTGGAATTCTAAGAGTGGGTTTGCCTGCTGGCTCAACAAATGTCTTGTAGGAGCAAATTTTAGTCTTGTCTGAAAATTGTCAGCCAAACAGTGACTGCCGATCTGTTGCAGTCAGTGTTGGAATATTCTGTCAACGGCAGGCGCGGGTTGTCAGAATATAATAGCTTGGTGTTGGGGGCGGAGGGATTTCCCATCCATGGTGGTTTGCGTGAATGGAGGAATTTGTTTGATTGCTTTTGTTCAGCCCACAGTTTGTACACTGGTAGGTGTCATGATTATTAGACATTTGCAGAACATAAACAAACCACAAAACAGTGGCATCTGCTGCCATTGAATAACAAACCCCCTACAATCTGATTTGGTATTTTTTTCATTGGTAGTTTATTCATACTGCAAATTGCAATGGTGCTTAAAAGTTCCAAGAACCTTAGGTCAAAAACTAAAACTATATATGTATTTCTATGTTGAATGTTCTATCCCACTCCTAATAACCTTATCCATCTAGAAGTTTGTAAACGTACTTATTGAAGGTGCACAAAGGATGTATTTCCTCACTGCGCTAACACAATTTCATTCAGCCCTGTGAATATGCACTTCCTTTGTCACTACTCTCACAGAGCCCGCCTTCCGAACTACAACTCAATGTCTGAACAATGCAACATTATCATTGCTTACTGGAAGAAATGCATGATGGGATATGTAGTCTTGAGAAATCAAGATTGCATCACATCAAGCAGCAGGGAAAGAGTTGCAAAGCACACTGGGAATCCAGTAAGTTGATGAAAGTGATGTGCAGACAGAAGGCAGCACTCACTGCATAAAAGGTTTTTTCTTTTTAAAGTAAGCTTTGATTTGTGTTCTTGAAAACAACTCTATGTATTACAAGGCTGATGTTGTAACAGGATAGGATATGTTGGGACTTTGAAACTCCTTTAACTTGTAGAAGGCACAGTAATAGTTTGTGCTTTCTAACTTCAAAGCAGTTTGTGAACCGTTGATAAACTTCAGATTTCTGAACTGGATGTTTAATAGTACAGCAGCTCTCTCCATAATCCATATTTCCATAATGTAAATGGCACTTTATAATAATATGATAGTAACTATACATTAAATTATGCAGTATGTTTCTTTACTATTAATTGTATTTCAATGTCATTTATATTGCTTTGGAAGAATAATAAGTCTGATGCAGAGGAATGACAGGCAGCATTTACACAGCCTTATTATATCTGATACTGGTGAGTTGTCATTTCATCTGCAGGTATTGACATCTAAAAATAAAATGCTGCAATCCTGTTTATAAAGGATTCCTATGTGTATGTCCAGGTCTCTAACCTCTACAGATGCAGCCAGTTGCTACCAATAATAGTAAAAGTATGGACTGTTTAGAATCCTATAGTATGGCCAAATGTATAGTTACTATCAACCCTTTCCTACTGCTGCCCATACACTGTAATATTTTCTTCGTTCAACCCCTGTCGGAATGCCCGAACAGAGCCAATAGGTCATTAGCTGCTGGCTCTGTTTGTTCGAAGATTTTCCAGCTTTAAAGAGATGATTGTGTGATGCCGCCCGAAAGGGTGTCGGCAGCAGCACCCACTATGTGAATTTCAGCCGGTTCATCAAGAACCGGCCAACATTTGCATAGTGTATGGCCAGCTTAAGTCAATATTGTTTACATTATGACATTTACATTATAGAATGTCATGTGCATTAGAGTCAAAGAAAAGAGGGCAGTAAAATCCCATAAGAAACACATGAGGAGACAACAAAAAGTTTTGCACTAACCAGCTTCTAATAGTTAGAAAGGTTGTTCTGCAATGTGTTCAAGTGAGTCAGGCATTCTGTTTAGGGTTAAATAAGTGAATGTTGGCAAATTTTGGGGACACAGACATGTGTGGCACATACTAAACATCTTGTGTTATTTTAGTTTAATCTGTGATTTTATAGACTTCCGGTTCCGGTGCCTGATGTAGTGGTAGCAGACGAGAAGAGCTCCCGCGCGGCCAGGGATAAATCTGTGATTTTATTATTATAGTTGTGGCTATTTAGGGTGTTTTTGTAATTAGTAAACAGTGCACAGTAGAAGGTTGCCCTGTAAACCACATGCTTATATCATACACTATATAAATACATTTATGTTAGTTTCATGTACAGCTGCATGAGATAAACTATGCATGTAGGCCAACTCAAATTTGCAGACATGCTCCACAAATTATACCTATGTTTGCTAAACCTCCTGCAAATGTCAGGTTTTAGCTATGGCCAAGTTCAAACTGACGACAAAACCTTCCATTTTCGGTTCTGGCTCAGGGCATTTTGCATATGTAGCTGGTGTACTACAGGGCAACCTTTCTCAACAGGGGTGCTGTGACACTCTGGTGTGCTGCCTAGCCTCCTCAGGGGTGCCTCAAAATGTTGTGGTAGTTTAACTGTGGTGTGAAGGGGGAATAAAGACTGATGTGAAGGGGGCTCCTTATGTAAAATGGGAACTCTGATGTGAAAGGGAGGAGTGATATTAAAATGGGGCTCCTGATGCAAAGTGTGACTTTGATGTGGAGGGGCAAGTCGATGAAAAGGGCGAAATCCACTTTTTTGTGTGTTTTTGTGTGGAGTCCCCCTTAAAATCTATGACATTTTAGACTGAGGTGCCTCAAAATTTTGCATACTTATAATGGGTGCTGTGACTAAAAAAAAGTTGAGAAATGCTGCTATAGGGCACATTCGATGCACGTTTGTAGAAGATTTAATAATACCATGAGGTATTCACATTTAAACATCATATTCTGTCATCAACCAATGGAGAAGTAGTGTATCAGGAATAGTAAACTGAAAAAGGAAGCTGAAATAATGTATTTTCTACTATGATTTGCAAATATCTAGTATCTAATAGGTCAAATTACAAGCTACAGTCTGACCTTCTTGCTTGAAAATGTAAAATGCAAATATAAGGCTTGGATTTAAGAGAGCATTGTATTTTTTTTACTCTGGAAGCTACAGTAGTGATTATACTTAATTCCATTCAGGAGAAGTTATGGCTACAAAATGACAAGCTGCATAAAGGCACCATGATTCAAACTCTAAAAAGATAAGGGTTTTGGGGAAAAAGGTTCTAGCGTTGTCTTATCATCAGTGGGAACCTCACCCTAGATGCTATTCCAGTAAGTTTTAAATGTATACAATACTCATATGCTGTATACCAGAATATATTGTCAAAATGAGCTAACTAAGCATGACAGCTGTCACAGATAATTAGAACTCTGCAATGATCCAGAGCAATGAAATTTGTGAGTCTGTAAGATGAAGCAAAATATGTCTAAACATAAAATGCTTGGCTACAACTGTGGGTATACCAGGGGGCCTTGGGGTAGAGCTGCAGTGAGAAAAAATAATTGAGTTAATCAAAGTTCAAATAAAAATTAATATTTATAACAACTATCAAACATAATTAGTAAAACGAATGCATTAACATGTTCTGACTGCTAAAGAACACACAAAAATGAGAATATAGCATTCTACTTTTTAGCCCAAGGATGTAACAATGGATTCTCCTGAGATATGGACGTTTCACAACTCAGGGGATTACAAAAATGTATGTTGACTCATGACACCAGTTGACCTTCAGTTCTTCCTTCCATTTCATAAAAAATTGAAATGCATGGTTATAAGCGTGCAGCTCACCCTAACTTTAGTCTTTTGGGTGCCTATAGGCAGATGGGAAATACCTTGATCAGGCAACAACTGCATGCCTATGGGTGGCTCTTGGGTTAGCAAGCTCCTTGCTGATTTGGCAGGGTAGAACACCTTCCCCAGAGACTATTGTTCCACAAGTGTTAAGCCTGTTACAACCCCTTTTGAATGGTTCCCAACACAAGATTTTCATGCAAGACCATTCTGACTGACAAATCTTGGGGGAAAGTGATTCATCACTTCAAACCTTTATGCCCCTTATATACAAGATTTTGTTTACATTTCCACTATGTGCCTATTCCTTTGGTGATAACCTTAATTACAAAGTAACACATGCATTGCTGTTTGGGGACAAATTAGACTTTTACTTGGTAATAATTTCCTGGGGAAGGGGAAGGGGAAGAGATAAGCCTCTATCCCTTGTAAAGTACATTTGTCCCAATGGTGAGGGAGAAGGGCCCCACATCTGATGCCCCAGGAAGGATGTGGTGGTAATATGGGATCGACTAATAGTGGAATCTGGAAGCTCCCTTTATAATACTGGGGTGCCTAGATATTTGCACCCTCCTAGAGGAATGAATACAGTGGCACATTAGTACACCTTACCCATTCCCACAAAGAGTTAAAAGTAAAACAATAACAACACCACGTACAAGTCTATCACATTTCCAGCAATGTAAATCAATTGTCAATCAAGGCATCCAGTGATGTAAAAATCCTCATTAACTATGATGACCTGACAATGTTTACAGGCTCTGATCAAGGGGGCTTGCCCCTGAAATGTGTAAGTGTTCCAGAATTATCTTCATACTCACTGTTAAAAAAAGATCAAGATTTAATTCTTTGAAAATCCCTTGATGCTATATATATTTTATTTAATATGTATTTTCTAAATTGGTTTACTGAAATGTTCTATATATTCTTAGGAGCCTCATCTGGTGTCATTGACCTACTCCCAACACCCAGTGCTGCCACCAACTGGACAGCTGGTCTGCCTATGGACAACAGTGGAATGATCTTCAAGTTTGATGGCAAACAAGGAGTGAAGATCCCAGATGCCATTGTTCCAAAGAATTTGACTGACCAGTTTACTATCACCATGTGGATGAAGCATGGTCCCAGCCCAGGGTTAAGAGCAGAGAAGGAGACAATACTATGCAATTCTGACAAGACAGGTAACCACTATAAATCTATCAAATGTGCGGTCATGAAAAACTGTTCTTCTGTAAATTAAATGTGAAAGATTCACTCACAAAGTACATTATTTCAATAAGGGCACTAAAAAGCGAGCTATAGGTAAAGGGACATTATAATTGATTAGGTTATTGTTATTTAAGATGGATAGACTATATAATTTATATTTCATTTTTACAATATTAAACTGGTGTTTTACATTTTCTTTATCCATATACAATCAATGTTTTACAAATAAACATTTAATACATGCCAAAAAGACAGTTAGCTTTGGGTTGGCCATACACCGCTTACTACATAATCAGAAATTTGAGCTGTACTCCATTTGCCAAAAGTAATTTTTTCATAAATTATCGCCTGAACAGTAACTGCAGCCAGTTGGCTGCAGTCTCTATTTGGGGTATTCTGACAGCTGTCAGCTGTTAGAATGCAATAGCCTGGTGTCAGGAACCAAGAAACCAGACTGAAACTTAAAGTGCAGGTTAAAATATAAAGGAGTTTATTGAAAACAACAATAAACATAAATGGCAAAAAAAACAATGGAGCAACCCCAGGATGTAGTCAGTGCCAAGCCAGAGGTCAAAAGCCACAGCGGGCAGTCAGTCCAGCCAGGTCAGGGAGCACTGCGAGAAGGAAACAACGCCAGAGTCAGAAACCAGGAGATCAGTCAGCCATAGCCAGGATCATACACAGAAACAACAGCAGCACACTCAGTTGATCAGAACAAATGCAAGGGTGGAGAATGGACAAGGTGATGGTTAAATAGTGACCTTGTGACTGCATCCTTACTCTGAGACAGGAATTTGCCAGGAGTATAAACGGCAGTTGCAAGAAAAAAATGTAAACAAGTTTGGTCATAAGAGGGCGCCAAAGAGGAACCGCAGTGTCAAAGCGACTGGATGAGGAAGAGTAAGAAACCCTGACACCCAGCTGGGGACATTGCTTATTATTTCTCGTTCAGGCCATGGGGTTAACCAGTGTTGAAGTGTATGGCCAGCTTTAGAGCAAATGTCTGATAAGGAATGAGTCACTGCTCTGGCGACTCACTTCAATTCTGTAAACACTGGTCTTCTTTTAGCACAGCTGAGTAGGATACAATTATACTGATGTTAAAAGAGGGCAAATCTGCCACCTACTGGCTAAATAAAAGGCTATATAACATGACTGTCTAACAAAAAGAAAAAACATTTTGGAAATAGTATTATTTATCTCTACTAAATGTAGAGATATTTATTTTTGAATTCTTAAAGTGACTTACAGAATTCAAAAATAAGTTTTCGACTAGAGATGCACTTCAATTTTTTTATTTCAGAATGGTGAATCATAGTAGGCATAGTATATGTTTGGTTGTTTGGCAAGCACTATAAAGCCTAAAATATGAATGAGAATTGCAATTGTTTAGTTACCCTTATAAGCAAATGCTCTCATTGCAGTATCATGATATTGCAATGTTGTAAACTAGGGAAATGCAAACAAGATGAATTCCGTGCCACATAGCGGTTCAAACATGTAGATGTTGTATATCCCTAGTTTCCCAATTTTTTATAGCATTTTTTTAAATTTGCAAGGGGCTTAGGACTAAACCTAAAAACATTGCCTATGCTTTGCCTTTCACTGATCTGGAAAAACTACCCTCTGTCTTCTCATAGGTGAAATAAGATGACCTCAGAGATCTTTTGACAGTGCCTTGCCACCCATAGTTGACTGTTTGTTTCAGTTGCACTACCGGGGACTGAAATGCTCCAGGAAAGCTCTTTTCATGCTGAGCTAACCAAAATGACCACAGCTGATCACAGTTGAAAGTCAAATGGCTTTGTGTGCCATTGAGAAGGTGATTAGCTACACCTGATTGAGTTTACAAGTCATTTTTAGGAGGGGGTAATCCTTTTTCCAACTCATTGATTCTGAATTGTTTTTATTTTTTTCTGATATGTTGGTGTTATATCTTTCACTTGGATGTTATAAGTTGCACTGAGTAAATACAGCTGTGTGTCTTCATTTCAGGCTGCAAAGTAGGAAAATGTGAAAACAAGTGCAAATTGTTCACTTTTTTTGTGGGGAACACCTGAGCTACACACTTAGAAGATTAGTATGTTTGTCTTGGATGATGTAACTTGTCAGGAGGTTGGATAATAGTCTCCAGAAGAGATGTTTTTCCAAACAACAGACCTTGTTAGATGATAGGACATTTAATTACCCCCTGGGCTTCTTATCTATCTGAAAAACTTAATTTACCTGCTATGGCCTTTATAAGGGAGTTTTTTGTTTGTTTTTTTTTAGAAATGTCAGTTTATTGTTCTTGAAATTATAATTTCAGAAAACACAGTAGGAGTGCTCTGAATCTTCTTGCTAAAGTACAAGTAGTATTATTACAGAGAGGGAACCCCACTGAGAAGATCTTACTAATAGCCCTAAAGAGGAACTGAACTCTGGAAGCTGTGCACAAAAAAGGCAGACAGAGGGCAAAAGACAAGTCACCAGCATTGCATAGGACCTCCTGGCAGCTGATCTTTTCACATTAATGACTTGTTATTCCTTGTTTTGCATTGTGTTTTTGTGTGGAGACAGCCACCTAGGTAGAGGCAGGTTTTAACTACCTCATGTTAGAGAACAATGAGGTTTTAACATCAAAGAGAACAATGAGCAACAATAGTAATATCACCAAAGCTCACTTAAACTCTGGTGAGTCCAGCAGCCAAAGGCAGTAGTACCTTAGTTCAACCCACGGACTGAACAAAAAAATAAAGCCGATTCCTTCATCAACACTGCGAGTATGTCAATCAAGGAATCCCGCTGTTGGGAATTAAAGGCAAAGGTGGACTGGGCTAGCACCAGTGACCAGTATTCTTGGTTGATAATTAGGGGTCCTACTTTGAAATGTTAAAATTGTAACTGATTTAACTGATTTTAGTGTTTGTGTAATATAGATAGATAGATAGATAGATAGATAGATAGATAGATCTATCTATATATATACAAACACTGTATGTTCTTTGTTGACAGTTTCTAAATTATTATTTTTTTTGTAGAAATGAACCGCCATCACTATGCATTGTACGTACACAACTGCCGTCTTGTTTTCCTGTTACGCCGTGATTTTGACCAGGCTGACACGTTTAGACCTGCTGAGTTTCATTGGAAATTAGATCAGGTAGGAGATTTTTCTTTCTTCACTCTGTAGAGTTTGAGAATAATTTTTTGTACAGTTTGCAGGCCTAGCGTGAACAAATGAATATAACTGTGTCCCCTACAGCTTTGTACAACCTCTGTTAACAGAGAGGTCACTTGCTGAGCCTTACAGATGGAAAGTTGACAAGTGGTCCTTTTAGTAGGTGCCTGCAAACCATGAAGACAGTGTTGAGTGTTTGTGCTACAGTGCTTAATGCTTGTATTGCCATATGTTATTGAATCCAGTTTAATGATCAATGTATCACTATTTATGGCACAGCTCTCATTTATAAATGTTCTTCAACTAGAAAACACAGCACAAATGTTTCTATCAGCTTGGTTAGAACAGCAGCTTTGTATAGACTTGGTATTTAACTGTCTTAATCTATATTTATTACTCTGAAGGTATTATTTATATATGCATTATATATCATTGAAGTATTGCAGGTAATTCTAGCTTGCACTCCTGTGTAATTTAGCAGTTTTTACATACACGCCTTATAGTGCTTTATATCTTGCTATGTCAAATGACAATCATAAAAAACCATCAGTTACTTATAGATTGATGCTAAGATTAACAACTAGACTCCATATATTAGTAACTAGATCTGATATATATTTAGCAATGTAAAGCCATAATGTGAAAATTCTCTAGAACTCACTGTCAAAAAGCAATGTGAGATACTAATGGTGAATATACAGAACCCTGTTTCTGTGGTAGGCAGTTTATGAAAGAATAATAAAGATTAAGATAATACTTGCTTTTGCATATGTACGTAACATAAGGTTTCTGGAGATATTGGCCAAAGAGATCATTACATGATTGTATTTAAGTTAATTATATGAGGTCTGCCACAAATGGACATCTTGTAAGTGTTAACGTAAGATTATGATTGGTTATGCCATATTCCTTTTCCATGGGGTAACTGATGATTGTAGGGTTGTTCATTTGTCCCTGTGGTGCATACATGTTTAAGCACATGCATGAAAACAGCCTGCACATTTTAGCAGTGCAGATTATATTTTGGAGGGGGTGGTAGGTGGGTACAAATTAAGGGGTGTAAAAATATTGCAAGCTATTCATCTTTGGAAACTCCATGTACATTCACTCTGTGTGAATGGAGGCAAAAACGAACTATAGTAATATATTATATTTACAGGTCAAATGTAATATCAGGAAAATACCTCATTCTGACCACTAGTTAGAGATGAGCTGCAGGGTGTTGGTAAAATGTTAGGGTGATCGTTTTGGTAAGCGGTAAGAAGTAAAGTGATTGCTAAAGCGGGTCTCTGTGCAAAAACATTTTTTTCTAAATAAATCCCTTAATAGCTACTTGTGCACCAAATACTTTTGAAAACCTGTTACTGCCTTCTACAAGTAGCAGTGACATCATCACTGTGCTGTACATAACTTGGGCAGAGAGCAGAGCTGTGGGAGGAACCCAGCAGGCACTGCCAACTACTGACTGCCTGCAGAAAACTACAGGAGGGGCGAATACCAGACCAGTCACCCTGCACAAGGAAAGAGATCAGCAGTGACCAGTCTAAATAATGGGAAACTCCTGTACAGAGGCAAAGCTTCACACTGGATTACTGTACAGATCTGGAAGAAATACACAAAGCACACCAAGATTCAAGTAGAAATGCAAATGTCTCTTGTATTTAAACACTAGCTGCTTACCCTTATATTGTAGTTTCATTATATATTGTTCCTTCCAGTAGATCCGTTGATTTTTCTATTTCCATTAGGAAGGTGATAACAAGGGTTTTTTGCTGTTAAATTACTTCAGTACTATCTTCCTGTGGACAAGGTAGTTTTAGGTGGTCTTTCAGTAAGGACAACAAAAGCTCAACTCCAGCTAAAACTTTTCAAGCAGCTAGAGCAACAGGTTGCTGCACAGCTTGATCTGGATGCGAATGTGTGGGGGGAAAAATAAAGACATGTGAAATAAATAGTTCTAATCTGATTTAGACAACTTTCACCCAGGATTATTGTATTTTTTTAATTGATTTCAATTAGAAAACATGTGTATCTTGGGTGAAAGTTGAATGAATTGTAATTTGCATTTGTAAATGGGGATTTGTTCAACATAGCATTAGTTGGTGGACCCAAATTTTGATATCAATATCACAACTGCAAGAGAAGGGACACACCCACTAACGCTTATAAAGGACCATTTTGCTTTATTGAGCATGGGTAAAGCTGGCCACACACCTTACAACCATTGCAATACTTTTGTCTTGCGATGGTCGTAAGGTAATTTTAAAAAACGTACGATCTGCCCATCTTGGACAGGCAGATCGTACTTGCGATAATCGCAAGCCCGCCCGCTGAGGGATGGGCTTCCGATGACCGCAATGCTGAACGGGCAGTGTGCGCTTGCGGCAGTTATCTCACGATCATGCTACAAACCAGCCGAAAATCGTACAATTCTCGGCTGGTTTTCGAACATGCTCGAAAGACAAAAGTCGTGCGACCATACAGTAGAAATGGTTGCACGCCTTCCACACACCTTGCGATAATCATATGATCGCTGGATTTCCCGCGATTATCGTACGATTATCGCAAGGTGTGTGGGCACCTTTAGAGTTTAAGATATTGGAGTCCTTGATTACATAATATAACAGAAGGGAGCACACAATTAGATACAAAATAGAGGGGGGAGTCCACAGTTGCATACACAATGCATGGGATAACCTTCAGGGAAGCCTATCCCACATAACCACTGAATTATGACTTTCTCAAAGAATTCATCCCCACACAGCTATTTTAGATTGTAAGCCCCCAGGGGCAGGGCCCTCCTTACCATCTTGTCTTGGATTGTATTGTGATTGTAATGTCTTCCTTATATTGTAAAGCGCTGTGCAAACTGTTGGCGCTATATAAATCCTGTATAATAATAATAATAATAATAATAATAATAATAATAATAATAATACAGAATAGAAGGGGAGGGGGCCCACGGTTACATACAAAATAAAGAGGGGAGTCCATATCTACGTACACAATAGTGAGGGAGTCCAAGGGTAAATACACAATAGAGGGGGAGTCCATGGTTACATACACAACAGACAAAAGTCAGTTAGGTGTTGTACTGTTTTCATCACAACCAAAAACATTCCAGCTTGGCTTGCTCTTCCAACTGTTGTAACCATTCTTGAAATACCGGTTAACTTAGCTTTTTCCTTTGCATATACATACAATTTGGGGAATTTACTAAAACTGCAGCAGACAGAATGTGGAGCAGCTGTGCATAGTAAAAACTGTGCATAGTAACCAATCAGCTTTTATCTTCAGCTTGTTCAGTTAAGGTGCCCATGTACCGTACAATTATCTGCAGATTTTCAGTGGTTAGATGGAAAAAGTGCAACAGATTGGCCCAGGTGGAGATTACTCCATCCACACAGTTAAGTGTAGATGGAGGAATCTGTTACACCTTTTTGATCTGACCACAGAAAATCTGCAGATAATGTATGGGCAGCTTTCATCTTTGAAAAAGAAAACTAGAAGCTGATTGATTGCCATGCACAGCTGCTCCAATATTGGTAAATTTCCCTCAATGCATATACATACATGCAAAAGCTAATTTCCCCTTCAAGTGTTAAGAGTTCAGGCAAGAATAAGGCTATGGCCTTGTTCACACCAAATGCAGAGCAGATCCGCTCAGGTTTCTGCACATGCAGTGCAGTGGGTTGTGCCACGTTTTTGATGTGCTCCAACCGTCGTTTTGAGTAAAAAATCTTTTTTTTTTTTTTTAGTTTAACATGGGCTTTCAGTGCGTTCAAGGCATTTGCATGCGTTTTTGATGCGTTTGCATGCGTTCCAGAGCACGCAAAATAGGGGTTTCTGCAGTTTTTTCACCTGTTCCGGACCTGTTCTGGAACTGCACGCTGCAATGTGAACTGGAGCAAAAAATACCAATGGAATACATTGGACGCAGTTTTGATCCGGTCTGCAACTGCTCTGCTCTGCACCTGCTCCGCGCTTCCAACTAGTTTTTGCCACTGGAAAAATAACAGGCTGAGCTGCTGATGTTGAAACTAGCATACTGTAAAATGTCATCTGATGATGACGATGATGATTTGTATTTTTATGGTTCTGTGTGTGCTGTCTAAGACCTGTTTGTCATCTTATAAAATGTGCTTTCTCTAATCAAGGTCATGTGGAGGCTAGACTATACAACATACTATAACATGCGTTTGTTTCTCAGCCACAAAATATGACCTGTTTGGACATGTAGTTTGCTGATACGGAAAAATGTGAAGCCACTATTTCCAGTGCCCATTTTCTTGATGTTTCTATTCCTGAGACAGAATAAGTATCTTAAGAAAGACATGAGCTGAATTCATTACAGATAAGCAGTACAGGTCCCTATTGCTTTACAAGTACAACTTTAACCAATTCAGCGAGTGCAGGAATCCTCAACTCTATACTCTGCACCTTGCTACAGGGTTGTTCATCATTCAAGTGGTTAAGATTATACACAGGGAATTCTAAAGTACCAAATTTACCTAAGCAGCTGGCGAGATAAATGATAAATGAGTCATGTTAATCCTACCAGAGAGAATTATTCCAAGTCAATTCCACTGTATCCAGCAGGGTCTAAGTCCATTAGCTTTCTATCCCTTAAAGTCTTTTCTGACATAGTTTATTTGCTAAGCCCTCTACCACTCTGATCCCATTTCTGCCCACCTCAGTGGCAATCACTTCTTACAAATCGGGACGTTTGCTGCGGGGCTGAACTGAACTTCAGGCTCATTCACTTGTGCTTAATGCAATGATCCGCCATGTGTGCAGTGTCCGACATTCTAGCTTTTGAAGAGCTGATATGTTATCACTTACCTGTTAAGTTGTTGTCTGCAAAGTCCTGCAGACCAAAGAGAAAGTGATGCTTTATGCTAGATGACCCGATATTGCCCCCTCCAACTTTATTTACATAAGAGAGATAACGCTTACAAATCCTGAAGTTGATGTAAACCATA